CAATGAGCTTCTACTTTTGTTTAGCATGTGTTCACCTGTTTATGTACCCTGCCTCTCTACTGAGCCCAACAGCGGAAACGGTGTCTCATTTATTTTTAACTCTGGCACATTGTGTGGCACTTAGAAGAGCTTGCTGAACTGAGTCATCTGATCAACTGAGTTGATCCTCTGCTGAATGTCAGCAGAATGGGGACTGTGATATCCTCAGACAAGCACTGAATTTTCTGCATGGTGTATGCACCTCCAGGCTCCCTAAGTGGAATTCGGCTTGGACAGGAATAATAGCCCTCTGAAAGCTTCACCTGCCCCCATTGAATGATGTGGTTTTTTGAATGCATGCATACAATAGCTGAGATCACAGGTCAAAATCAGACTGACCTGAGTTCACACCCAGACTCCACAATTTACTAGCTCTGTGGCTTTAAGCAAGTCATCTAACTTCTCTGCAGATCACTTTCCCCACATCTGTCTCTCACAAATGGAAGGACCAAACGAGACACATGTCTGTAGCACACCTAGCTCTAGCTGAATGGTAAGAACCTGACGCCTGGTAGTTCACATTGCTCTACTGGAGTTTTTTTTCTAAGCACCAAGGGAGCAAAGATGAGGATTATTAGAAAAAACAATATGTATAATAATATCTCCCAAGTTCTTTGTAGGCCCTGAAGGCTACCACCATAATTTTTTTAACAATAAAAGTGCCCCTATACAATTATGATGTTCTGCCTATGCCTATAATGAACACAACACTATAACCTAACACATCACCAAAAACCCACTATGTATATGGTAGTGGTGAGGTATCTCCATCTTTTCATCTCCCCCTTTTTATGACTTAAACCTCCCATTACATGAGCCATTTGCTGAATTTTCACTGAACTTTTCACAAACCAGAAGGTCACTGGACTTGGACCAACTCCCATAAAATTTTACTGTTCTCTGAGTTATTGCATAATGATTCCTAAGAGTTAATGTTTTACTTTTCTTCTAAAATAAGGGATTTGCTTAAAGGAAGAAATCTCATTATAAATACTAATGATCCTAAATCCAGAGCTTTATTACTCATCTAAGAACTGATAAAATATCTGAACAAAGTTGAAGTCATGAGTAAAGCACATTATATTGGTATAATATTACCTTTTCTCCTCATCCTCCCCATCCTTAAATGTATGTACATATTTAATATTTATATACCCAAAGAATATACCATTTTCTGGAAATGCAAAATTGAAAACAATATAGAAATAATACTTTACTTACTAATATATGCTCAAAGTAATTTAAAATATTGCTATTTCTTCCAAAGTAATGTCTGCTCAAATCTGAATAATACATGCTGCCACTATTGACATCTCTGATGTGATGTCATATATGCATTCCTAAAAAATTATGCATCCTGAAAAAATATGAACTGAAAATAATACAGCATATGTGAAATAAACAGTTAAGAGAAAACCACTAAATACTCAAGCGACATTGGGAATTCAGAAGATGCTGTTAGTGGCATAGCTTTTTAATCTCCCTTAAAAATAGACATAGCAATTGAAATGCCAAAACATCTACAAGAAAACTAAATGACAAGATAACCCCTGAATCCCAAAAATCCAAGAAGAAGAGTCCAAGCCACTATATTTGTTGGTAGGTGATAAAATAAAAACTGTAAGAGAGAAAATATATTATGTAATTGATATGTGCTCTGATAATACATAGCACAGCTATTAAAAATGGGAGGAAGAAATGGGGAAACTCTGAAAAACATAATAAGCTTATCGATTATCTTGTCACTATTCATTGAAAGCAGAAGATCTTAAGTCAAATGCTATTGGAGGATGCAGAATACTAGCTAATATCAATGTATCTCATAGTAGGGACTCAATAAACAATCAAGGAGGGGGAGAAAAGAGGAAAGGAATGGGTTCTTTTTTTCAGCTTTACTGAAGTATAATTGACAAATGAATTTATGGGATATTTAAAGTATACAGCATTATGATTTGATATACATATACATTGTAAAAGGATTTCCCCATCAAGTTGATTAACACATCCATCACTTCACATATTCACCATTTTTTGGACTCTCAGTTCTACTATGAGAGCAAACTTCAGTTATATGATACAGTGTTATCAACTGTAGCTGCCAGGTTGTACATTAGATCCTAGGAACTTATCCATTTTAAACTTACCAACCTCTTTCTGTTTCCCCCACAACCCAGCCCTTGGCAACCATTTTTCTATTCTCTATTTCTATAAATTCAACTTTTTAAAAAAAATTCTACATATAAGCAATGCCATGCAGTATTTGTGTTTCTCTCTCTGGCTTATTTCACTTAACATTATCTCCTCCAGTTTCATTCATATTGTCCCAAATGATAGGATTTCCTTCCTTTTTTAAGGCTGAATAATATTCCATTGTATACATACCACATTTTCTTTATCCATCACTCATTAATCAACAAACAGGTTGTTTCCATACCTTGGCTGTTAGGAGTTCATGCTGCAGTGAACATGGGAATGCAGATCAATCTTTGAGATAATTATTTTATTTCCTTTGGATGTAGACCCAGAAGTCAGATTGATGAATCATATAATAGTTCTTTTTTTAATTACTTGAGGAACCTGCCAGATTACCTTCCCACTAATGGTATACAAGAGTTTCTATTATCTCTCATGTCTGTTTTATAATAGCTATCCTAACAGGTATTAGGGGATATTTCATTGTGGTTTTGACTTCTGTTTCCCAGATGATTAGTAATGTTGAGCAACTTTTCATGTACCTGTCAAACACTGTGTGTCTTCTTTGGAAAAATGTCTTTTCAGATCCTTCACCTATTTTTAATTTGGTTTTTGTTTGGAATGGTTGTTTGGCTATTGAGTTGTATGAGTTCCTTGTATATTTTAGATATTAACCCCTTAATGGATATTTGGTTTGAAATATTTTCTCCTGTTCCATAGTTTGCCTTTTCATTTTGTTGATATTTTCCTTTGCTGTACAGAACCTTTTTAATTGATGTAGTCCCACTTACCTTATTTTTGCTTTTATTGCTTTTGTTTGTGGTGTCAAAAGCAAAAAACCATCACCAAGACCAATGGCAAGGAGCTTACCCCCTGTATTTTCTTGTAGGACTTTTATAGTTCAGGTCTTACTTTTAAATCTTTAATCCATTTTGAGCTGACTTTGTGTATAGTGTAAAACAGGTGTCCAGTTTCACTCTTTTGCATGCGGCTGTCCAGTTTTCCCAATACCATTTGTTAAAGAAACTTCCCTTTCCTCATTATATATTCTTGGCCCTCTTGTCAAAAATTGACCATATACACATGTTTATTTCTGAGCTTTCTATTCTGTTTCTTTGATCTATGTGATGTTCCATTGATGTATGTGACTTTGCCAAATCATACGATTTTCATTACTATATCTTTCTAACATTGTTTAAAATCAGGAAGTGTGATGCCTCCAAACTTTCTTATTCTTTTGCAAGATTGCTTTGGCTATTCAGGGTCTTTTGTGGTTCCATACAAATTTTAGGGCTGTTTTTTTATTTCTGTGGAAAATACCATTGAAATGTTTATAAGGATTGCTTATAGATAACTTTGGGTAGTATGGGCATTTTAACAACATTAGTTGTTTCAATCTATGAACACAGAGTATCTCTCATTTATTTGTGTCTTCTTCGGTTTCTTTCATCAATGTCTTATAGTTTTCAGTGTATAAATCCACTACCTCCTTGACTAAATTTAATTTTATTCTTTTTGATGCTATTATAAATGGGATTGTTTTGTTAATTTCTGTCTTTCATGTTCATTCTTAGTAAACAGAAGTGTGATTCTTATGTATTGATTTTGGATTGTGCAAATTTACTGAATTCATTTATTAGTTCTAAGTTTTCTGGTGGAGTTTTTGGGGTTTTCTAAATATGATATTATGCAAATAAAGACAACTGTATTTCTTACTTACTGATTTGTATGCTTCTTAGTGCCTTTTCTTGTCTAATTGCTCTGGCTAGGACTTCCAGTACTATGTTGAATAAAAACAGTGAGAGTGATTATTCTTGTATTGTTACTGATTTTAGAGGAAAAGCTTTCAGTTTTTCACTGCTGAGTTTATTAGCCATGATTTTACTATATATGCCTTTATTATGTTGAGGTACATTGTCTCTAGGTATAATCTGTTGAGGATTTTTATCTCGAAAGAATGTTGAATTTTTGTCACATACTTTTCTGTGTCTATTGAGATGATCGTGTTATCTTTGTCCTTCATTTTTTAATAAAGTGTACTACACTTATTTATTTGCAGATGTTGAACCATTCTTTCATCCCTGGAATAAATTCCACTTGATATGGTGTATGGTCCTTTTAATGTACTATTAAATTTGCTTTGCTAATATTTTCTTGGAGATTTTTGTATATATGTTTATCAGGGATGTTGGCCTCTAATTTTCTTTCCCTGTAGTTTTCTCCTTTGGCTCTGGTAGCCTTGTAATGCCAGCCTTATAAAATGAGTTTAGAAGTGCTCCCTCTCATTCTGTTTTTTGGAAGAGTTTGAAAATGATTGGTATTAATTTTTGTTTAAATATTTGGTAGAATTCACCAATAAAGCCATCTGCTCCTGAACATTTCTTTGTTGAGGGGTGTTTGATTAGTGATTCAGTGTCCTTACTAGTAATTAGTCTGTTCAGATTTTCTATTTCCTCATGACTCAGTCTTGGTATACTGTATGTTTCCAGGTATATATCCATTTCTTCTAGGTTGTCCAATTTGTTGGTGTATAATTGTACACAGTAGTATCTTATTTTTCTTTCTAATTTATGTGGTGTCTGTTGTAATGTCTCCTCTATCATTTACAATTTATTAAAGAGTCACCTCTTTTTTTCTCAGTAAGTCTAGCTAAATATTTTTTTTCTTTTTGTTTCTCTTTCCAAAAAAACAGCTCTTAGTTTCATTGTTCTTTTCTATAGTCTTTTTAGTCTCTATTTCATTTGTTTCTATTCTGATCTTTGTTATTGCCTTCCTTCTAACTCTGGTTTCATTTGTTCTTCTTTTTCTAGTTCCTTGAGGTGTAAAATCAGGTAATTTATTTGTGATCTTTCTTCTTAAAGTAAGAGGTTTTCACTATAAATTTACCTCTTTAGAACTGTTTTTGCTGTATCCCATACATTTTGACACATTGTGTTTCTATTTTCATTTGTCTCAAGATTTTTTTTCTCTTTTCATTTATTAACCCATTGTTTATTCAGGAGCATGTTTTATAATCTTCACATATTGATGGATTGTCCAATTTTGTTCTTATAATTCATTTCTAGTTTCATGTCATTGTTGTCAAAAGATGCTTGACATGATGTCAGTTTTCTTAAATTTATTAAAACTTGTTTTATGGCCTAACATACAATCTATCTTGGACTATGTTTCGTGTGCACTTGAGACTGTTTATTCTGGTGCTGTTGGATAGAATGCTCTGCATATGTCTGTTAGCATTATCTGGTCTAATACGTAGCTCAAGTCCAGTGTTTCTTATTGTGGTGAGAGTGTGTCTCAGCTTTTCCTGCCCATTTCACTGTGCTTATTTTCTCATTCGCCTGATGTGTAGGAGTCGCTCAGCTTGTTCTGGATTTCCTTTAGAGGTACTTGCTCCATGTGTAGCTGTATATTCACTGTATCTGTGGAAGGAGGGAAGTTCATTAGCCTCCTATATTGCCATCTTGGTTGACTCTGGGTATTTTTTTAACTACTTCTATAAAGGCAACTATTTTAAAAAAGGACTAAACTTCCTCAATAAAAATTTACTTGAAAAATAAGTAAATAAAATGGGCCACATAAAGACATATCTTATGGGAAAAGGGGAAAATATGCAAAGCATGCATCTATTGATTTAAGAAAAGGGAACACACAGAAGAAGGAATGTGAAAAAATACATAATCAGCCTATAAAAAAAGCAAGAGTAATTAAAGAAAATTAAAAATAGTTATCTAAATGGAGAGGGTCAGGAACAGAAACTAACTTTAGTTTAATACTCATTTAGAATACTTGACTTGGAACCTGTGAATGCTTCTCAATAATTACAAAAGAGATTTTAAACAATTTGTAAAAATGAAACAAAATTTAAAAATATAATTATGTGTCCAGTTGTTGGCAAAACTGCACAGAGAACACTATTATAAGTGACTTTAAAACATGATCATTTATATGATATCCCTAGTGGAATGTACCTGAGAACAAAAAATATTGCAAAACAAAATTGTTTTAATAGTTTCAGTGATAATATTGTGGCACTATTGTGTTGATAGTATTGGTATTGCTAATCTAAGGCTAATCTAAAATATCAATATTGTGGAATAAAACAGATGAAAAATTGTATGGTATTTCTAATTCAGTCATTCCTGAGTCTCATTGTGGATGAAAGGGAATACAGGTGTAAGATAGGAGAAATTAAATGTAAAAGCTAATATTTCTATATTTGAACTGGAAGTATCAATATGAACTAATATAATATATTTTGCCTTTTTTAAAGGCAAAGATTGAGAAACCTGTTGATCTGCACAGGTTGATCTTCAGAGATGCAATAAGCACAGTTCAGAGAAACCCTCCAAGAAAAAAAAATGCCCAGTTTCTTCTACAAATAAACCTTCTAGAAGGGGGAAAAAAATGAAGAGAGCACCTATAATTTAGAAGTTTATAAGACTTATCAACCAATCACACTGGGTGGAGTGACTTGGATTGTGATTTTTTAAAACTGTAAAAAATTATGACATTGAAAGACAGTTGGAAATTTGAATATTGGATGTTTTATGATATTAAAGAATTATTAATTTTTTAGCTTTGACACTGGTATTGTGGTTATAATAAAAACAGTCCTTATCTTTTAGCAATACATACTTAATATTTATGAATGAAATCATATGATGTTCATTGCTTCAAAATAATATGGAAGTTAGATGTAGATGGGAGTATAGATGAAAATTTTTTGGTCATGAGTAGGTAATTGTTGACCCTAGGTGATGGGTACACACTAATTCATTATACAATTCTGCCAACTTTTATAGAAGTTAAAAACTTCCACAATAAAAAGCTCTTATAAATGATGATATATCTATATGTTACCTAGGCATTTATTTCCCAACTTTGTGGGTCCTAATGGTAGAAAATTCCTGAAAATATGACCTAGTACAAAATTAGATCCAGAATATTATCTGGTCTTCATAAAAACACACAATCTACAGTGATCTCTGCCTAATGGTGAGATGCTACAGTCTAAAAGAGAAAGGGCAATAGAAAAGAATGTGGCTATAGCTGGTCTCTGTGAGTTTCAGAAAAAGTATTGCATACTTTATTGTCTGTGCTAGAGGAGCCTATCTCATATTTCTGAGAACAATATGGTACTGGAAAGATAAGTTACCAAACCACCCCAGAATTATATGACAGGTCCTTCCTACCTGTATCCTCTTAGAGAATATGGATTATGCCCCTGCCTCCTTCACCCTGGAATTTCCATAACCTCAAATTTCTTTGAGAAAATTCTAGCAATTCAGCCTTTTGTGGCTGCAGAAGACTCTGAATAATGTTTCTGGCATCAAGTAAGGGGATATTACTTGCCATTTGAGTATGAGGAGCCTAGAGGCAGCAGGTGGTGTTCATGCCATGCCAGTTCATGAGGTACTCTTCATGTGTGTGTGTCTCTGCTGCCTGTTTGCCAAGGGGACTGTGATACACCAAATGCCCTGAGATAGAGCCACAGACAGGAAGTCCAGCAGTGACACCTGGCCTGCCCCTACCAGACAAGGATGCTGTGAGCTCCGAAATCGTTTCTTAAAGTCCCCCAAACACTGCATCTACATGAAGTATTTATATGAGAAAGATATATTTTAAAAGGATTAACTTTCTTAATATTGGTTGTATTTCTAAAGTTTCATTTATAATACATACAATGATATTTTTGAGGGGGCATAAAAGCCTGCTTTCTGTAATTAGAGTTCACAGAAAAACAGAGAATTATTGCAGTGTCCTATAATTGACTTTTCTAACATACAACCTCAATAAAACATTGCCAGGATTTTGCATTGTTGGTAGCATTGTTTCAAGGTGCTTTTGTCATCATAATCATCACCACCACCATAATTACTTTCTACTTAGCACTACCTGTATGCTGGATTAGCCTATGGTACTCCTGGGAAATATATTCCTGCATAGTGTTTCTACCTCCACTTCTTTTGAGGAGAATAAAAGCATAATGGACTATAAATAAATTAGTAAAATTATAAGTATTATTTTCAATACATCCCAACTTAAATATAAAAGCAAGTTGTCCTCAAACTTCAGTATAGTTCTTATAAATTACTTGGAACCCATTGTATCTCACTGTAATGTAATTACTGTTTACCTGTTTGTAATTTTCATCCATAATTCTATAACTTGGTAAGGGCAGGAACCATGTCTATCTAACCCACCATTCTAAACTCAGCACCTAACACATAATAGGGGTTCATTCATATTTGTTAAGTAGATGCATAAATAAATGAATGAATCAATAAGCAAATATAACTCACAACTGATCACTTTATGTCAACACATGCTATCGAGTCACTCTACCAAAAATATTTCATATATTTTCTCATTCAACCCTCACAAAATTCCTGTAAGAAAAATATTATTTTTTCTGTTTTACAGGTAAAGAAATTGGGGCTCAGAGAACTTAAGGTCACATGGTGAGGAAATTGTAGAATTAGGAATCCAATCTAGGGCTGATGGTTTCCAGAACTCTTAGTCTTTCTGATGCCCAACCTCCTGCCTCTGAACATTACACTATTTCCCTAAGGGTGAAGAAAAATAGAAGCTGTGGGAAGATCATGTTTTAACAAATTAGGGAAAGTGACCTCAGTGTCACTACGGAAGCAAGGGGACTGCACCTCCCAAGCAGCCCAGCTGACTCCATCACCATTAGTCTAATTCTAAAAAGTTGAAATGTGCTCACATTCACATACATTTGCCTTTGTATGGCTTTGAGTTGTGTGCTTTATTTTGTTCTAAACAGATATTTTTCTCTTTTTAGTCACATTTCTGAAATAACAGAATGTTGTGTTCTGCATTAAATCTCATCACAGCTGCACATAAAAAAGTGTACCTCTGAGCTTCTTATTTAAAAAGATATGGAAATGTAAAATTCTAGAGAGTCTAAATATTTCTGTGTTACATCCTCGGCTTGGGAAAAACAGTTTATTCATCTTTTTCTTTTCCTAAAGCTGTTAATCATGGTAACTCTGTTCTTTCTTATCTTTGTGGCTTTTCTGGAATCTCCAATTGTCCATGGAACCAACCTCAGGATTGCCTGCCCTTCATATCATTCACACAGTTAGGTTCAGTTTGATTCTTTTTCTGGGGCAAATAAATAAAAAATGGGTATTTTCCAAACATTTGGAAGAAATGGAATATTTTCAGTGGGGTAAAAAAAGGAAAAGAATGATGATGATCTAGCCCTTTATCTGAGGTGATCTAGCCCTTTATCTGAGGTGTTGCTTTTTTAAAGCCACTTGCTTTTACCAATTTTTAAGTGATACCTAGATATTTCTGTCCAATAAATATCCTTGGACTGTGATGGGCAAATGCAGTATCATAATGATACCCAGAGTTCATTAATCTCAACAGTCAGTAAATTAGTTGGTATCTACACACAATATAACCAAGTACATGCCCTGAAGTATGTAAAAAATAATCCCCTTTCAAATTAACAATTAGTTAAATCAATTATCCATTTGTTCTCAAGTATGTTAGTTTCATTAACAATTTAAATTGGAGAATTTCTATTCACAGATAAAGTCAATGCCACCAAAATCATATCTGAAATCTAGGGGAGGTATCTTTTCAAAAGTGTTTTTAGAATCCAGGTGGACATTTATTACTGATTGGGTAATGAGAAAAGGGCTTCTACACCTAACATACATAGATACTATTCCCTTCTTTCACTTCTCAATGAGTCAAAGAACCTCATAGTTATACATTGGCTAGCAATATATTTTGAGATATATTCTACAGCAATTGGGCAGTTAAATGAGCCATCAACATACTAGTATGTTACCAAAATTATCACTTTTATCTTCTTAACAAAATATCATCAACACATGGTAATTACATTATTTACTAATTACCAAACTTGTACAATTATCAAAGGAACCTTTTGGTGTTAATGTGCTCTATTATTATTACTCTTTCTCTCATTACCTTCTTTAAAACTCTAGCCCTCCATGAAGCATTTTTTCAGAAAATAAATCACTCCCTTGCACAAAATACTTATTTTTTAAATATAGCAAAAAATTAATGATCTTTATTTGCTCTGTTAGCTCTTTAGTACTGCAACTATATTTTTTCTCTGTTTTGCACAGTACTTTGCCAGGCACACAGGAGAGTTGAAAAGATAGTAGTTGATGGTAATTATGATGTATCCTGTGCTTGTTCACAAGAGACATTTGCTAAAGATTAAAAATAAATTCACAACTAATTGACTGCCAGCCATAAGCTATACTACTGGGGCTCCCAAACTACCAACGGGAAAGAAAATGACTGAGCAGATCTTGCCAACGGCCAACCCAAAGATTAAAACCAACTTCCCTTCTTAACTTGCCTAGAACACAACTAATCAAATGAATGGCAACTTCAGTATTTCTTTAATCCTCCAAAGGGCCTACTTCAGGATATGAATCCTTAATTGCAAGTACTGTTGCTTTTCCCCTTATTTGCCCCTTTCAAGCCATCAATGAACAAATATTTATTGATTGCTAACTATGTGCCTTATACTTATAGACTAAGGGAATAAGTTATAGACCTATGATTATAGACTGGGAATGCAACCATGAATAAGACACCCATAATTCTTTACTTTGTGGTGTTTACCAGAGCAAGGAAGGAAAATAAATGGTAAGAGACCTTACATAATTCCAGAGAAAGATGAAGAAAGAAATAATGCATACCAGTGTCAGAGACACCTCTGTTTCTTATTTTCTATTTGTCACACCTACCTCAAGTTGATGGCAGGAATCTTTATAATTCCAAACTTTGTGCATAACAGATGATCCAGGAAACTTCAGTAATTGTCTTTCCTAAAGAAAAGTGATCCATAATGGTATAAGAACAATCAACTTACTAACTGATGAGCAATGGAAAGGCACTGAGAAGACAAGGCTTTGCTTTCTTTGAGGGCTTAATTCTGTGTTGGAACAGGAACTAATCTTGCCAAGATAGCCCTACCAGCCAAGATTTTTCTTTCTCCTCTTCATCATCCATCCTTTTCTTTTTTCTGGACACTCTCTTTTCTTTCCCTTGACCTCTCATCTGCCATCTTGCTCCTTTCTTTCACAAGGCCTGAGGTCATAGGTTATTGTTGTGTGATTGCAATTGTTAATGTTCACCAGTATCTAATTTGCCTCCTTTGGGGGTGAGACCCCTTGGAGTGAGGTGTGTCCATGTGACAGCTCTGGCCAAAGGGATGGAATGGCACTCTGAGTCAGGCTTTTCATGGCCTGTGCTGGACTCACCAGCTCTTTCTCATCTCCAGCTGCAGTAAACCTGGAAGCTCTGTGATTAGATGGCAGTGTCATAAGATGGTGTTGTCTTCTTCCACTTCAGTCCCCATGTGACAGTGATAAGAAAAGTCCTCCCTGACATTGTGAATGAAAAATAACCTAAAATTTTGGGGTTGTAACCACAGCACAACTCAGACCGTTCTGATAGGTATAAATAGAAGAGGAAAGAGACTACCCAGTAGACACAATCATAAGGATACTGGCAACATAATTCATTTATTTAACAAGTATTCATTGAGTTGCTAAGTGCCAATATCTAAACTGGGAATATAGAGAAAAGACAAAGTTAAAGTCACTGGCCCCAAAAACCTTGCTTTAAAAAAAAAAACTGATAAATACACAAACAATTATGGTTGACTGGAAATCTAGTTGTTTTTAAATCAGTCAAATATGGTGAAGGAAAGTTTGGAATAATCTTTGTCTAAAGAGTATGCAACTGGAAGTGAGAGTCCAGACCTGCCATATTTTTGTAATTCATTATTGTTAATATTATTATTATCCTCAACCTATTTATTATTATAAAATGTGTGTGACTTTAGGCAAGGTACTGAACTTTTGTTTGCCTGTTTTGAATGGAGGAAAGATATTATTCCTCCCTTTTAGATTACTAAAATGAAATATGATTAATACCTAACGATACAGAATTAATACCTAATAGTACAGTCTATGTGCCCTAAATTCTGAAGGCAAAAACATTCCAGACCGAGCGTTTAGTGGAAAGGCCCCTCGCTGCGGTTTAGCAGCTGCACACAGCGGAGCCTTCCGCGAGCCTTGTTCTTCTCATGTCGGTCATTTCAAGGTGTCCACTGAGCATTCACGGTGTGCCAAGTACCATGCTAGGCCCTGGGGATAGGCCAGTGATAAGACATGGTCTCTCCACTTGGTAAGCCCACCAGGGAATGTGAACTTTAAGCATTATGATCATTAACTGCATAATTACAAACGTATTAAGAGCTATAAGGGGGATCTTATTGGACCATAAGGATAAAAGGTCCAAGTGGAGAGAGAATCATCAGTGATAGCTAATAGCTAAACTTAATTGGGAAGAATCTGTAAAGCCAGCATAACAATATTTACCTTGAAAGTGACTGTAAGGATTTTTTAAAAATTACATGTAAAATACATGGCAAATGGCTGGTTCTCAAAAGGTGCTAGTTTTTAAACAGTGTTTCAGAAACCTGTACTTAACATGACCAAAGGCAAAATATTAATAGGGGAAAAAAGGATGCAGCTTTTACCATATAATATGTAGTTTACTCCTATTGTTGTCTCTATCAATATTAAAACATTACACTGAGCTGTTCCGTAATTGTATTTTTATGTTTCCCCTGACATCTCTCAATTCAACCACTAGGGAAGCCCCTGTCTTCCTGTCTGCCTTGTTTTGGTTTTGTTTCATGTACCTTTCCTGGCAACGGGGTCCATTTAGTTGACTGGTTACCATAGGAGCCTGCTTGCTCTGAAGGCTAGTGAGTGTTCTAGGGAAATCAGCAAACTACAGGAAAGGAAAAACTGAAAGTCTCTTGCCAGATGATGAGTCAGCAGGTAAATCTGATTCACTGTATTCCAAATTACTTCTAGGTGGGGTCTAATCTGGGGTGCAAATGGCACTTTAAAGGTTTTATTGCTTCAATACCCATGTTCTGTCAAATCATTTTTATCTTTGTTTGCCTGGTTATAAACAGTTTAAATAAGTAAGTCTCTTTTGATTTTATACTTTATTTTATTTGATGAATAATTTTCTTTTATTGCTTCATAAATGGACCTCACTGAATTTTTAGCTTAGTTTCCATTGCATGGGGACTGAAAAGGAATCACAGAAGCATGTTTGATGATGATAATCGTAAATAACATACAGAACAGGACTAAAAACAGACTTGCTTGATAGCAGGCAGGGAGAAAGATATTGAACATTTGCAACCATGAAACTTTCAAGATGAGTCTACAGGAAGAAAGAAGTTATCCTTAAGTGCACAATCACGGTATGAACTTAAGCCAGTGTGGATTTCAACTGAACAAAGTGTTCCACTCATTTGCAGAGATGGGAAACCAACATATACTTTGTCAAGCACATACTATTTTCCACTAACCCTCTGAAGTAATTGAAGTAATACTGCTATTCCCTTTTTTTTTGAATGAGGAAATTAAAGTTAACGTTCCAGAGAAAGGCGGTAAGTGCATTTTACAAGAACCCTAAATCCCTCAAGAACAGAAAATCAGTAATTTTATTATTTCAGTTGAGGTTATGAAATAAATTAAAATTTAGATCATTCCTAGCAACTTAGAAAACCTGTGCCTTTTGAAAACACAAAGAAGAGGACAACTGTGCCATCCATTGTGCAATAAAAGCAAAGTTACATAGGGACAAGAGTACAGAAAACAAGGGTTTTTGCTCTGTTGTTTGTTGAAAAGGAAGCACTATTACATTGGTAAAAACAGCTCTGCATTTTCATTCAATGGAAAGAAATCAGAAAGTTCTCTGGAACAGTTTTGGGCTTAGTGGAAAATCATGTCCTGGTACGAAAGTAATAGCCATTGTAGATAAATAACCATTTATAGCTTTTTATCTTGGTTAAACTGTTATCTTCCAGTCTGTAAAAGATAATTTGGGTTTGTTGCAGAGCTTTTTAAAGAAAACACTCTGCCTCTTACAAAATCCATCTCCCCAAGCTTTGCTCAGGAGTTTGAAGGCATTCTGTCAATGCCTTAGAAATAACATCTCTGAAAAGCAGACTGTTAGGCCTGCGTAACATCTCCTGCCATTGAATTCTGTTTTCCTCGCCTAAACAGCAGGTGGGACTTGAAAGCAAGAGGAGGTCCCTGTAGAGAGCTTCTGGGCTTTCCATCCCGGAAATCTAAAGATATGCTCTAGGAAAAGGCGGGCGTGCAGCATCCAACTCGATTGAACACCTAATAGGAGAAGTGCAGAACCGCTGGAGCAGAACAGCCGATACAGCACTAGATGCCAAACTTTACACATGGTGAAATGACTTGAAGACAAATGAGGTAAAACCACATATGAAAATCCTTCACTGAGGTTCCTAAAATTAAGAGTTACTCCATTACTAAACATTTTATCTTCAAGAGAAGCATTTTAAGGCTTTACCACTCCTGGGTTTTGCTATTGGAAAGTTGAATAAAAAATTAAAAATAGAGGAACACTGTATGTCATTTCTTTTTTATTGTGTTAAAATACACATAACATAAAAAACTTGCTATCTTAATCATTTGTAAGTGTACAATATAGTGATACTACATATTTCATACTGCACAACCACCACTCCCATCCATCTCCACAAGTCCTTCATGCTGCAGACCTGGAACTCAGTACCCGTTAAACAGTGACTCCCCAGGACCCCTCCCCCCTGCCTCTGGCAACCACCATTCTACTTCCTTTCTTTTTTACTTTATTTTTTTCTCCTTTTCCCTTATGCCCACGCCCTTGGTAACCAACATTCTGTTCTCTTTTACCATGAGTTCAACTTTTTCTTTTATTAACATATGCCACATATAGGCAGGATCATGAAATATTTATCTCTCTGTCTGGCTTACTTCATTTAGCATAATGCCTTCTAGGTTCATCCATGTTGTCACGAATGGCAGGATTTTCTTTTTTTTAATGCTGAATAATATTCCATTGTATTAATATATGTATATATTCACATGCAATTCTAATGTATGTATACACAACATTTTCTTTATCCATTCACCTGTCAATAATACTTCATACTATAAAATGCTCTTCATTCCTAGAATGGCATTATAGCACCAACTCTCACTATTCCTGTTAGCAATGAGGATAAATGACTAGAGTACGTTCACCTTGACAATTCCCCTAGCAAAAATATATGTACCAGCTCTTCTCTATATACAATAGGGTTCTATCTACAATAATGAATGGATATTTCACACACTATAAGGTATACAAGTTAGCAGGGTATGGCTGGGGAGATACTAAGATCAGATAACCAAGTTTATTAAACAGGCAGAATCTAAAGGCTCCTATACATACACACTTGTTAAACAGCCAGGAATATAAACAGCCCCCGTTGTTTCCCTGTATCTTGCATACTCCATATAGTTTGCTCTGAATTATTGTTAAAAATATATATATCCCAATGATTCATTCTCCTCTTAGTAGAAAACATTTCTACACCAAAGTGGACTTTATTTTCCCTTCCACTCTCAGTCAGCAAGGAGTAAGAGAAAAGGTCAGGAGTCTGCCTGCTAATCTTTCTCTACCACAAATCACCTCTACAACCTTGAGTAAGTCGTTTCTCCTCTGGGGCTTCCTTCCCTCATCTGAGGAGTGCTGGGGCTGAGCAAGAAGGTTGCCCAAGTCCCTTCCAACTTGAAGATTCTGTGATAATATAGAGCTGTTCCCAGGTGCCTGGCAAAACTCCTAGTTTCTGTCTCTCTTGTTTCCCAATGTGCATTTAAATTATGGGTCCCTCAAGTAAATGTCAATAAAGAGTCCTTACCCGGGGTTAATTGCAAGTTTTAAAAGGGGGAAGGGG